GCCTTAAGTGGCGTTCTCCTCATAAACTTACTTTGACCTCTCTTTATCAGCTTTCATTCAGCATTTTAAAGAGTGCTCCTTAATGCTGAGCCGAACATGCTCCGTGTTCCCTCTTCACTCAGCCTCTCCGGGGTTCCCAGGTATTCATGACTGAACCCTGACACAAGACTTTCTTTGCCTCTATTTCCCAGCCCATTCTTTAGCACTATGTCTCAAGGAGGGTTGCCTTCACTTAACCCCCTGGAGTACTCTACACTCTATATGATCATGTTTATATCTCATGCACAGCCTGAAGCTATTATCATATCACCATATTATATTATCACCTCTCCCTTTGGGTATTACTCAGTGCTTATGTTTTTAGTCAAGAGGTTGTAAGTTATTCAAACACCAGTGTTTAGAATATTTTGTGGGATTTGAGTGACAGCCGGTGTGTAAGAACGTTCAGCAGACCAACAAAGCTCATGATAGTCACACAGCTGCTTTTGTATTTGCTGCAGAACGACACATAAACCTGTGCTCATAAAGCTCCACTCCAATAAGTTTACATCAGAGTGAGAGTTAACAGACGCTGGTCACATTTGTGGCTCAGCTCCAAATATCATACACGGAACTGATCAAATCAATTCAATCCCCCCCCCATCCTTTTATTGTACAAGCACTCACTGCCATTTGTGCACCTTCATTATTGCCAAATGTTTAAGACTGTGCCAAAAGTTACATGTAATTTACTAGATGAATGAGATAAAGTCATTAAAGCGCTCATGTACATAAGCAAAACAACATTTTATGTTACAATACAGAGAAGTGTTACTAGTTGGATACAGATTATTTATATTAGATAACTAAAAATATTAGTTATCTAATATAAATAAGTATAAAATAATCCGATCAAAAAAGAATAAATAACTGAAAGTAACAGATGAAATTTAATTTCCTGAAGAAAATTTTCAGTGTAAAAGAATCTTTAGTGTCTCAGGAAATAGTTTGGTGATTGTAACTCTTAAACTTTTATTTATATTTTAGAAAGTCACCTCATAGATGCTCATTCCACTTTATGTGTTAAAAGTCCCAGTTTTCAATGATTTTCGATAATTGCTATTTAATCACAGACTGTATATAAGAGATGCGTGTAGCAATTGGGACATTACCCCTGGATTAACAATGTCCTGTCTTGCATTTGAGAGCTGAGCGGTTTTCCGTTGCTTTGCTGGTGGCTTGGAAACTACAGATGTGAATCTGACTGA